CGAGAAAATATATTACAAGATCCACTATTTTTATACTTGAAATACTTTTGAGGTTTGGTAGTCGCAAACAATCTTTTCGAGTGGGTTTTTGAGGCGTACCTTTGATTAACACCTTATGTTAACTTTTTCTCTATATAAAATTACCCGAGTTGATAAAACTCTTTTACATGAACTATCACCTGATTTGTGCCACGTCTCCCTCTCACTTTCTTTTGTCATAGTGGTCCCCTCGCCTTCTTTAGTTGTGTAGTGGTGTTCCTTTATCTAGGAACGATGCCATAGTCATTTTTCTCTATTCTACGATGACTTATATCAAGCAGCCTCCTAACACATCAAATATGCCTAGAAAGTTAGTCTTACAAGCAAGCTGCCTCCACCATGGAACAATATTATAAAAAGAAAAGCATGTAGTCCAAGCTACAAGAAACTTAATTTGTGAAAGATCAACTCATATTTATGAGGGTGGCAATGTCTTACATCTATCACGTAATAGTAGGGGTGACAATAGGCCAGGATTAGACGGGTAGGGGCTCGTAGGGGTCGCAATGGACCCAGACCGAGGGGTAGACCCGAGCCGGGTTTGCGTATGGGTCCAAATATTTGATCTGGTGAGTTGGGTTTGGGTCCAAGACTTGGACCCGAATACTAATCAGGTCCGAGTCAGACTGAATCCGGACTCGACCCGACCCGATACATTGCCATCCATAGGGTCTCGGCAAACCAAGTCCCTAGCTGAAGGCTGGCCTGGCCTTGGCTTGGCCCATTAGAAGGGCTGCTCTCATGGCCCTTCTTTAAGTTTAGCTAGGCTAAGCCTGTGCAAGTAACTGTCTGACCAAGATATACGCAGCCCTATTGACCATGTATTCTACAAATAGTAGGCTAGACGGCGTTTGACTACTTGGTCTGAGTGCTGAGCAGTCAGGCCATGTACTCGGGCATGAACTCGACTTACCCTTAGTTGGGTGTCCCACTTGGGAATAATAAAAAAATTCAAAAATATCATAGAAAAAAAGAATTTATTTGTGATGGAAACGTATTTGGCGAGTTGGCTTACTCATACTGATTCCTTGTGGTCTTCCTACAAAATATATGTCAGAGACGAATTTTCGATCCAAAATATTAGGTTTTGATAATCTCAACCATGACATTGATCTAAATTTGGTATTTTTCTTTTTCAATAGAGATGGACATTAGATAGACAAGGAACTGTATGGTAATAGGTGAGTCGGTTGACTCACCAAAACCATGGGTTTTTTATGTTTCCTATCATTTTGGCAAAAATTGAAAAGTATTTTGGCCATAAATGCTTATTTTAATATTTTTCCATCTTTTCAATTACAAATTGATTTTCATATGTTGATTTTCAAGATTTTCATATGTTTATAGATCTCCTTGATTTTAACCATTTTTGGAATTTAAAATTTTCTAATTAGATATGAAAATAGATTTTAAGATAATCCTACGATTTTTTTACAATAAAATTACATGTTATGATTAAAATTTGGAAGTCAATCTTAATTGGATTGTTTAAAATGCAACCGTTTTGAATTATTTAGTGGTTTTTGAAACAGTTGTGGGAATGGAAGTCACAACGTACAACTGAGGTATGGGTATGCTACCACCACGACCTCAAGTTCTAGTGCAAATTCCTATTTTCATATCATACTCCCTAAAAATTAGTGTAAAATAATGTTGGGACCTTTGATCATTAACACTTTTTCATTTAAAGTGGATCCTGAATAGGAAATTATTCTAGCTTTGTTTTTATTTTGAGAAGGGCTAAGCAGAATAGACCATTGGCTTGGGTGGTCTAACTAGTGGAGCCAGTACATGCTGTCAAGGATTTCATTCCCACCTCTTTGATAAGTTGAAGGAAGAAACAAAGCAAAAACAAAAGCTACGCTACTAATAAGGTGATAAGGAAAACTTAAAAAGGTGAACTAAATCAATACCTAAAGGAAAAAAAGGCATAACTGATTTAGGTCATCTTTGATTCACCTTGTCAATAATTTCAAACAAAAAAAAAAAACTTAATTACAGCCATTGAAATAGGAGATATGCAGCCCGCAAATAGAGTCTAAGTCTTTGAGAGTGACTTGATCTGGATCATTGATTGGGCTCCAAATTAATTAAACTTTTATTTTATTTGTTCAAGTTGATCCAAGGATGAGTAAATGTGATCTAAAATTTTCAGATAATAAGTATGTGTTTAAGGGAATACACCACATGCTGATAGTGGTCTCGCCAGATCACCAAATCATTTCCCACAAGAAAAAGGCTCTGACAAGTTTTTGAACAACCAAAATGCACTTCACTCTTTTGGCCTTCATTGATTTGTATGTTTCTTGAATACTTGCGCATGTGTCTAATTTGTTATCTTCATGCTATATATAGATGACCTTTATTCTATAAAATTTATTTATACTTACGCTTAATTGTCTTTCCTACCAATTTTCGTGTGCTTCTAGTCGGTATGTCCACCTAACTTTGTAATGATAAATGAGAAACTTCCAAATTTGACTAGTGAATTATTATTATTTTTTTGACAAGATTGACAAGTGAATTAGTTAGTAATAAATATATGCACCTAAATTGGATTTAGAGTGATTTACATGTAGACCCTAAATGTTTTTTAAACTATGAAATGCTCCATTTATTGACAGAAATTAGGACGGTCAACCAACTTTTTTTTTATTTTTTTATTTTTTATTTTTTATTTTTATTTTTATTTTTTATTTTTATTTTTTTCAAAACTACCTTTCGGTCTGAGGATGAAATCCTCAGCCCGAATTTTAAACATATTTTTTTAGTTTTTTCCTTAGTAGGGCACTGCCCCAAGCTTTACGGTAGTGCCCTACTAACAAAAAAACTAAAATTCAATCTGAGGATGTCTTTAGAATGAAAGAAAATTTTGAAAAATAAAAAATAAAATTTATTGGCTCACCTTCTTTATAATTTCCATCAATAAATGGAACATTTCGTATTTTTAAAAAAAATTTAAGATCCATGTGTAAAGTCACTCTTGATTTTAATACGGTTATAATAGTTATGATGCCTTAAAAGCTAGTTTAAAAAACTAGGGTTCAAGTTAAACGCATATCTTAAATTCTTAGGCAATTTAAACCTAGATAATTTCATATACTTGGTCCTGACAATATTGCATTGTCTATAACTTGCCTATTGCTCATTACAAAACTCAGAAGAGAATGTTTTTTGGATATCCCTAAATTGGTAGGAAATAAGGGCATCACGTGACCTCTATTTAGATTTCGTATTTTTTAGTAGTCCCTATTATTTAGAAAATTTATCTTTTTTGATTAGTACTAGTTATGTTAGGATAGACATGACTAGATAAAGATAAATTTACGCGCCCAAAAGTTATGGAAAAAGAAAGAGCCCCACGTACCACCTATTTTGCGTGATTTCCTTTTTGTATATGGTGGGTTATTTAGACAGAGAAAAAGATCCAGAAAATTAGAGGGAAATTTTTGGGGGTTTTATAGAGAGAGAAAATTGTAGAAAAGAAGGTATTGAGTCCCTGGTTCTCTCAAGTAACCTTATAATATTTTTTTGTTTTAGTGAAAAATATCGATCATCTTCGCCCATGGATGTAGTTATATTTGTGGCTAATTACGTAAATCATGGTGTTCTTTTTCTATTCTTTATTTCCTGCTTTATTTTTGTTGTCTGTTGCTTGTTGCTTGTTTTTGTCGATTCATTTTTCTCATAATTTATTTGCCAAAAATCAACCCATCCGATTTAGAGCTTCCGCCCAGAACAGTTATCGTCATCCTAAAATAGCTTGAACGGTGAGGCTAAACCACAATATATAACCATATAGATCCTAAAGCAGTTTGTCCAAAATAGTTAAACAAAAAATCAACCTCATGACATGTATTTCTCTTTGAAGGTGGATGTAAGTATGTGAAGCTTGATATAGCCAATGGGCCAATTAAATTTTTTTGGGATAATCAGGCTGCCATCTTATTAATTAGAAATAAAGCCTATAGCTCTAAGGCAAAGCACATTAAAATTGAATATCATTATATTTATGATATTATTGTAAAGAATGAAATAACTATAAGTTATTTACCATCAATTAATATAATCATAGACCTTTGACAAAGGGATTAAGTGCTAAAATATTTTCAAAACATGTAGCTTTGAGGGGACTTAGTAACATCTAAGTCAGAAACACCCCTAAAGGATGTTTTTCATGTCTTAATCATGAGATGAAGAGTAACATGAAAATCTCATGATACCTATGATTGATTTTTTATTCATGAGATGTAAAACTGCGCTAGCATGAAAAACCTCATGATCAGCTCATAAAGATTAAATCCGTTAAGCAACGCATGCTTTAAAGTATATTATTATATTTGGCCCTCATGACCAAGTGGGAGATGTTAGTGTATTCTTATGGCTATGGAGTCCACACATGTGCACTTACTTATTTGATCTATCTTGATTATTATTTTTTTGAAAAATCTTGTATATATTATTTAGTATTTATCTTTAAAAGGATTTTTGGAGTGAGAAAATATATTTCCTAAGGTAAGTGGATAACTCCCTTATCTTTTAGACTTGATGGCCACTTCTTAGGGATTTCATTAAAGAAAATGTAATATTGGATAACAGCCTCCCCAATCTTTCTTAAAATAAGGTTTCATGGCCATGAGAAAAAATTAACAAAAAAAAAAGAAAGCTATTCTCGATCATTTTGGAAAAACCTTGGGCACTCGTTTATATGTAGTTCAACGACATCGCCCACTTAAAGCTGCGATTTTTGTGAGTTGTTCATCTTCCTTTCCCAACAGGCTAGAAGTTGGACTAGCTCGTCCAATCCGGTCTTGATAACTATGGAAGTAGTAGACCCTTGAGGGTCTTATTTTGTTTCTTTTTATTCATCTAAAATCGCTACAAGGTTAAATAGGCCCCCAATCCAAGAGCTTTTGACACAAATGAAAGTGTGAATGAAAAGTAGAACCCCACCTCAAGAATCAAAGAAAGTAGCCCAAGGAGTACAAATCTTGAGAAAAATGTTCCCCTTCAAACTCCTCTCCCACCCATTCGCCACTATCAAAGGAGAGGGTTTTTTGAGAGGAGAGAGAGAGAGTATCAATCTCATCATCCTTGTTCTGTAACAAAAACTCCCCATATGATTTAAGAATCTCATTGTCAATAGAGAAGTCTTCCATGTCGAAGTCCATGAGAATTGGAGCTTTGAAAGAAGTGGGTTCGGTGTCATTAGCCATGGATTCGTTATAGTTACCCATGGGTTCAGTAGTGAGCTCGGTAGTTGGGGCCTCAGGCGCAGCTCGAGCGGGAGGGGCCACAAGCCCTGTGCGCCTTGAGGCCTTGGTTCTCACCACGATGAATTCCTCAGCTGGGCTTGGCTTGGCCTTCTCTTCTAGGACTGGTTCTTCGGACCTCATTGACTTGGCTCTCTGGTTTTTGGCTGAGCTCTCTTGAAATTTCTTGACCAAATATGTGTTCCAATAGTTTTTAATTTCATTGTCTGTTCGCCCTGGCAGTCGACCTGCTATTAGAGACCATCTGCACAAATTGAAAATGAGGCAATATTAAGAGACCCACTTTAAGAAATTCCATATATATCTTTGGGATGAACTCTCTCTCTCTCTCTCTCTGTTGCAACCTTAATTAAGTGCACCTCAACAATAGTACATGTTGCATCACGGTATGGATCAACTTAATTTGAAGAATGATTTACATATGGATCCTAAAATTTTTTCTAAAATACAAAATGCTATGTTTATAGGTATAAATTATAAAGAAATTCGATTAACCCATTATTTTATTTTTTTTTCAAAATTGCCCCCCGGTTTAAAGATGGAATCGTAGGTCCAAATTTTAGGACTTTTTTTTTTTTGTTGTAGGGCAATGCCCCAAGCTTGAGGACAATATCCTTAGGACTTTTTTTTTTGTTGGTAGGGCAATGCCCCAAGCTTGAGGACAATATCCTACTAACGGAAAAACTAAAAAAATAAAATCACATTTGGTCCGAGGATGCCCTTGGACCGAGCGGCAATTTTGAAAAAATAAAAAAAGCAGGTCAATCGACCTTATTTGTAATTTTCACTATAAATGAAGCATTTTGTATTTTAGAAAAACATTTAGGGTTCGTTCATAAATCACTCTAATTTGAACCACTTTTCTAATTTAAAACTTTATAATAAGATATGAAAATATATTCTCAAGCCATTCCAACAATTTTTTATACCAAAATTTGGAGGTGCGCCTTACTTTAATTATTTATGCTTACAATCTTATGCAAACCACGTTCCATCTGTACAAATGGAAAATTAATATTAAGAGACCCGGAATTTCAAATGATTTAGTAAAAAGGAGTTTCTCTGTCTCTCCCACCCAAAAACCTGCACTCAGTTCTGTGATGGTGCAGTCGTGTGCATGTATATGATGTGTGTAAATGTGTGCGAGTGAGAGAGAGAGAGTATTGAAAGAAATTATGAATCTATATTTGTTGTTTAACCTGTTGCCGAGGAGTTTATGGAGTCTAATAATGAGGTCCTCCTCTTGGTCTGAGAAGTTGCCTCTCTTGATGTCGGGTCTCAGATAGTTGAGCCACCTTAGTCTACAGCTCTTCCCACATCGTTTGAGACCTACACACCATATTTTGTGGGGTAAGAGGAAAATAATACATATACCACAAAAAGCCAATGTGTAATAGGCATACCACAAAATTCAGTATGTAAAATTCTTGGAGAAGATACAGAGAGAGAGATGGAAGACAGTGAATGAGACCGACTTTTGAAATGAGAGAGAGCTTTGGAGAGAAAATAGAAAGTGAGAGAAAGAGTTCTACTGAAATTAAAGGAAGAGATGATGTGCACTATTGATTCTAACTCATTTTTCATTGAGAGAAAGATTTCGATGATAATGATAAAGAAGTTTGATGATTAGGAAAGGGGCTTTGTTCGTGGTGGTATAGCATTGTCCCACCCAGTTACCACATTGTGGTATAAATGCTAACACTTTCAATGAACACCTCCAAAAATATAACTTCCTAATCTATTGAAAAAAATAGGTAGGGGTTGGTCTTTCGAACTGAATTACTCAAAAACTAAATAAATAAATAAATAAAAAGTTGATGGTTATGAAGATATTGATCTAAAATTGCAATGGTGATGCCACAAATGCAAATTAAAATTATAATTATGACCCATTGACTGCTCGACCATGACACAAATGGACTTGAACATCAAACCCTCGGCCAATTCTAGAACGGATTAACCTTAAGACCAAGGAAGCCTGTGAGGATAAGCCGGGTCCCATGGTTTTTCTTTTGGACCCAGCAGGCTGCGAGTCTGACATCAGAGATCATTTCTAATGATAACTTCGGTGATGTACCTACGCATGTGAAGCTATCATGATATGGATGATGAGGCATTTAAAATTTGAAACAAGTTTCCCCAAAAAAAAAAAACCAGAGTTAGATGAGGGGAATGATTTGGTGATACAGTATTTTAGAACTCAGCCGAGTTTGTCAAAGACTCTTGAGTCATAATAATAATAATTGAGTACCATTCTAGGAACTTCCTTCAGACTCGGCAGCTTGTTTAGTCAGAGTAACTCGTGTCGTTCGAGTTTTTGTACACTGGATGTTTGACGACATGGACTCATGCTTTATACAATGAAGATGAAGATGAAGATGATGCATGTGATGATGACCATGAGGGTGGTGATGCGGTTTCATTTACCTGTGCTTTGGGAGAGGGTTCTCCATTTCCCTTCTCCATGAGTTTTGATGTAATCAGTGAGGATTTTATCTTCTTGGGCAGTCCATGCTCCTTTGTTTAGACCCTCTTTAGAGCAGCATGGACATCTACCCATCTCCAAGGCTTTTTAGGCCCTGCTATTCTTTCAACACACACAAAAAAATGAGGAGAAAGAGCTCTCACAAACACACGTGAAGAGAAACACTGAAGCTAACATGGGTTTTATAGGCCAAATCTAAGGCTCCTTCACCTTCGGAGTCTTTACATGAAATAAAGACAATCCTTGAAGAAATATTTTACTGAATTATGTTGCTGTCAAGCTGCTAGATTGTGCCGTGGTCTTCATTGCATTGTCTAGTGTTTTGCTTCAGAGAGAGAGAGAGAGAGAGAGATTTTTGCGTAAGTAGAGAGAGATATTCCATAAAAATGGCATATGGAGAGAGAGATAGAGGAGGGGAGGAGAGAGTGAGAGAGAGATTTGTAAATAAAAGTAGCATATGACAGGGAGGATAATAGGTAGAGAGAGGGGATAATTAAGGAACAAAAGAATATTTACCTCAATAAAATGCTGGTTAAGAAAAATAAGGGTGTGGCTTGTATCATAAATCCTTTGATGACCTGAAAATTTATTTTTATGTTTAATTATAATATTTAAAGATTAAAAAATAGTGTAGATTGAGTACATCTATGAATACTTGGAAATCTTGAAAATTGACAGTCTAGATAATATATTACAAGATGCATTGTTTTCAATATTTGAAATTTATTTTTTCTCATGTCCAGATATTTTGAGGTCGAGATAATCGAATTGATGGTTTTTCAACATTAAAACAATCCTTTCTAGTGAATTTTTACGGTGGGCCTTAATTTGAGTGTTTATAAACTATTTCTGAAAAGTAATTTTAAGAAACAAAACTAAGGCGACATAAAAATAGCACTCAAAAGAGGGAAATAATAGCATACAAAGAAAGAGAGTGTTAAAATAAAAAGGAAAAAGCTAATATAAGGGCAAGGCCCTAAACAATCAAATTAAAGCGCATTTCAAAAATTCACTATGAAGCTATTGCTTCAATGTTGAAAAAACCTCAAATTGATCATTTCAACCTCAAAATATACATATATGAAAAAAAAAAAAAGGGATTTCAAGTCTTGGAAATAATGCATCTTGAAATGTATTTTTGGACGGTCAATAATCAAAGATTTTCAAGTGTTTATAGATCTACTTGATCTGTACTATTTTTTAAGCTTTAAAATTTATAATTAGATATAAAAATAAATTTTTGAGCCATCACAAAGAATTCCAGTATTTAAACATCTTTCGATACTATTGAAAGCGAGCCTTACTCTGATGGTTTAGGGCCTCGGCCTTAAACAAACCACACCCAAATAAAAATAGCATATGAGAGAGATGTTAGAGAGAGAGAGAGAGAGAGAATAGCATATCGGCCTCGGATTCTGTGTTATTTGGACCCATGGGGCTGGAGGGAAAAAGGGTCCCTTGATTCCTCCCATGTGACATTAAAACCTAATCACAGTAAAAATTGATTCTATATTCTTCAAAGTTACTGTTTTTTTTTTCTCTCTTTTGAAAGAACAACGTGGTTTGAAAGTTTAAGCAGCTTGACTTATCAACCCGTCAACAAATGAAAAGAGTAAAAACGTGATTTGAAAGTTAAGCAGCTTGACTTATCAACCCATTAATAAATGAAAAGAGGAAAAACGTTGGTTTTTTTTTTTTTTTTGCTATTAATGAAATGCCTTTCTAATCGTTTGACAAATAACCAAGAATTAATTGAGCCTCAAAGGTTTTATTTTATTTTATTTTAAAGAAAAGTTTACAGAAGGTCGCAACTTTAAAAATGTACAATTAAGGTTCACATCAAAAATCTATCATAAAAAGTTGTTTTGATGTTGGAAAAACGTCTAATTGATCATCTCGACATCGAGATATATGAATATGAGAAAAAAAGAAGAAGAAGATTTCGAGATCTAAAAATAATGCATCTTACAACACATTATTAGGACCGTCCATTTTCAAGATTTTCAAATATTTATAGATCTACTTGATTTAAATTATTTTTAGAGTTCAAAATTTATAATTAGAGATGAAAATTGATTCTCAAGCCATCCTAATAGTTTTTTACACCAAAATTTTTATTTATGATAAAATTTAGAGATGCGCCTTAATTTGATTGTTTAAGGTTGCAACCCAATACATACCACACCCTTAATTTTTTGATGACATGCTTTTATAGGCCTTTGAGTAATAATCAACAACTAATTCAGCCTCAAAGGTTTTTATTTTATGTTTTAGTGGCATTCATTTATATGTCTTTGAGAAATTACCAAGAATTAATTGAGCCCTAGAGCTTTTTTAAAAAACATCACATGCTTTTTTAGGCCTCCGAGAAATAATCAAGAACTAAATGATCCCTAATGTTCTTTTTTTCTTTATTTTATTTTTATTTTTATTTTGCAACTTTAATTTAGAACAAGCCTAAAAATTATTTAGGAACTATCTTTTCCTAGGTCTCTAAGTCGTAGATCACTGGAACTTAGTGCACCAATTATTGGACAATTGAGTAGGCCTAATTGAGATTTTAAAATACGTATTGTGAATTGGTTTCTTAATGAAGGAGCGATATTGAATCAGCCCTCTTGTAATTAAGGACGTGTTTCAACTTTCAACCACGTTTTTTCAATATTTTGAATTTAATTCATCTTATTAATGTCCTTTCTCTCTCTCTCTTAACCACCTTTCTTCAACAATCTGAATTTACTTCATCTTATTTATTTATGTCTTCTCTCTCTCTAAAAGACGTGTTTTTTTTTTATATAGATAAAGAGATAGATTCATCCTTACCAAAACAGATGGATTCATTTTTATTTTTTTATTTTTATCTTTTGTAAATCAGTGGAGAATACGGGCCCCTACCTTTTTTTAGAAATAATTAACGGTTTGTAAATGCTTCAATGGGAATGGAAACCTACACCGATAGCTTTTAGCCAGTATTATCAAGATCGGATCGATTACTGAGGTATCGAGGGATCTGGTCTAATCAAAACCAATTGGACTGCTATCAAACCGACTTGATCGGATTTTAAAAATATTAAAAAAATATAAATAATAATTTAAAATGTATATCATATTCAAAAAAGATTGCCCATTTTGTTCGTATGGCTGAATCTCGCTTGTTGGACTAGCTAAAAGTGGTCCAATGTTGGTTTTGAGAGATTTTTAACTAGATCCAGTTTTACTTTAGACCTGACTGGCCAAAAATCATGATAATTCGACCGATTGGAGTTCGGCCTTGATAAGTATTGTTTCAACCACGTTTCTTCAATATTTTAAATATCACTTCGTGTTATTCATGTCCACTCTCTCTATTTCTCTCTCTAAATGCTAAGGACGTGTTTCAACTTCAAATTTTGTATGTTACTTAGTCTCAGTCATGTCCTCTCTCACTACCTACGTCATCATATCAGGTAAGCTCTCTCTCCCTCTCCCTCTCTTTCTCTCTCTAAAAGCTAAGGACCTGTTTCAACTTCAATTACTTCATCTTAGTCATGTCCACTCTCTCTATTTAGGGGTGGCAAGGGGACTGACTAGACCCGATGGATATACCCAACCTCGGGGTCAGGTAGGAGTCTAAATTTTGGACCTGATTAATATTCAGGTTTATGTTTGAGTTCAGACGGAGCCGATCTGTACCCAACCTGTACCAGTAGTTATAAGGTTTATGAGGCCAATTATGTATCTTTAAGTACGTGCTAGGTATTCATATTATCACAATATTGGCAACATTTACAATAATATTGGCAAAAAAGAAGAAACTCATAATCATTAAATATATGATGGTCAAAAAAAGGGAAAAAAAGAAAAGAAAAAAATAAGCTCATAATCATAAGGTGGCAATGGATCCTCTCAGATCCGAGACCCAATGGGTAGACTCAAAACCCGACGGGTCTGAATAAGGTCAAAATTTTAGAGCCAAATAGTATTCGATCCTGACCCATTGCTCACCCTTTCTCGGCCTCATCATATCAGGCAAGCTTAATAGGTTCTGTGATTGAAGTCATTTATTGTAGGGAAATGATCTAATGCAACGATTGTATAGTAGTATAATGCAGCCACACCTCTATAAAACCACTTTTTAGTATTTGTATGACCCCAAATTTTGTACACACATTCTCTTCATCCTCATAATCAATCCTACGAAAAAGAAAATTTCAATTTGCACCCTAGATATGGTCGAAATTAGTACCCAACCAACAATGAATCTCAACCATCCATTATTTTGTTAATTTCAAGATCTAGGCTTTAACAAATTCATAATCATATTTCCTTTTTTAAAATTATTAATTTAAAAATAATAACACTATATAAAAATTTTGAGGATAAAAATATCATTCTGATGCCTATATCTAACCATCTCAATAAAATGGATGGCTTATAAATTGGGCTAGAATGAAAATTTTCCAAAGCATTTTTCAAAATTTTATCTTTTGTGATTGTTTTTCAAAATGAAAAGAATGTATATTTAAAACTTCGTGTCTAACAAATGCCTCTAAGATAATTTTGAAAATTGATTGCATTATACTACTATACGACCACTCACGGAAACAATGTCCTAAAAAACGCAAGGGTCCCATATCCTATCAAGAATTGCATGGGTAAAATTGATATTGTCAATAACAAAACTCCGAGGTCTCAAAAGTCAAAACTTAAAAAAGTATTTTGTATTCAATTTCGAGACAAACAAAAAACACTTTTCCATCCAAAATCCATCTTTAAAAATAATTTTGAAGCGACAGTATGGTCTTTTTGTTTTTATTAATCATTTTTTTATCATCCAGTATAATCATTATTACGCAAAGGGCATGATTATACAGTAGGCCTAAAAGTCTGTGTATTCCAAAAGACATATTCCTTTGGGCCCCAAACTCACCCCAAAGCTATGCTAATCTAGGCTTACTATTCATCGTGCACGCTTGTGAAAAGCTTTGCAATATGATATTTTGAAATAAATATTTTATTTCGACATGTTTCCTTTTATTTTGACACCCTAGGAGTAGGGTAATATCCCAATAAAATTACATCTCTTTTTTCAATAT